TGTGGGCCTCCAGGGGGGAGGTATGGGGGGGGCATTCCATGTGCTGTGTGGGGGGGCTACCCTGTGGGGGCCAGGGGTCCCACCCTTACTGAGAAGCCCCCCCAGAAGGTCCCCCACACCCACAGTCCCCCCAGCAATTGCCCCACACCTACCCACAGACCAACCCACATCCCTCGACACACACACACCCGCCTTCCCCCACACCCCTTCCCATCCCCTTCCTGCAAACACCACATCACTCCATTGCATACCCATCATGTGCGAAGAAAACCGAAAGCACACATCAACGCATATAGGTGTTTAGAATTTATTTTATCATGGTGATAGAGACACTGGTAGGCTTCCACATTGCTTTAACATTGTAACTATACCAATAAAGCATTTCCTAACTGATTGCTCTCTCTCTCTCTCCATATATATATCTATATGAGTGTGTGTGTGTGTGTGTGTAGAGTGTTTTTTTGTGTTAATTGTGGAAAAACATGGATTTGGGGGTATTTTTAAAAATGGATTTGGGATGGTGCTGCAGCAGTCCAGCTGGCACAAGGGGTAGTGTCCCCCAGGTACTCGCTGAGCCCTAGAAGCTCTGGAGAGCGAGTAGCCCTGAACTGCTTGCCAGGGCAGGTTTTTGTACTGCTGGGGCCAGGACAGGGCAGCTTTTTATACTGCTGGGGACAGCACAGGTGCTGGCCCTGGGCTCTAGCTCCCCCTGGCTGCAGATCCGGGAGGAGCCAGGCAGGGTTATTTTGCCCCAAGTGGCACAATTTGCTCCACAACAAAGTGCATGTGTGAGCACGTGCACTGAGGCAAAAAGCCCCGGCTCAACTTTGCACCACGTCTATTTGAGCTGCTGCAAGTGCACATGCTTGCATGTGTGGACATGCCCATGAGGGGCAGAAGTGACATGTAGGGTAGTGCAGGTGGGGGCTGATACTAGAGTCTGTGGGCCTGGGATCTATAAATGCCCTGTACTCTGCCTCTGGTTTGAAGGAAAGGAATCTGTCCACTTCCACTACTATGTTTGCCTCTAGCAGAAGGCAGGGTAGGTAAAACCAAGATTTCATACTAGTCAGTTAAGCTCCAATCTAAACTCAAATTCATTTGAATGACAGGAGTTGATGTTTTCTTCTGGTGTAGACTTTTCATGTAAAATAAAACTGTTAGAGAGAACTCCAACATTTGTCCTACCAGCACATACATGCTTCAGATGTCTGCTGCCTTACTCAGGGCTGTCCCTTAGCTTGCATAACCTCTTGTGATCGTGGACCATCGTGCAATTGTCAGCAGCCCATATAATTCCCCACAGCAGGTAAGAGAGCAAACAACAGAATGTTTGCAACCCATTATCGTTGATCTGTATGACAGGCTCTGCTATGAGAACAGTCACTGAGTCGTGCTATATCAGGGGTGGGCAATTATTTGGGCTAGAGGGACACTTAATTAGTTTTGGTGAACTGTTGCACCTACACACACACTCTCTCTCTCTCTTTCTCTCTCTCTCTCTCTCTACCTGCAGCCGGGCCAGGGCTGGTGGGCCTGGCTGGCACAAGAGTAATGGTGGGAGTGGGAGCATAAATTTGCCTGGGGCTGTAGCACACCCTGGCCTGCCCCTGCCCTGCCCAGAGCTGGCACCTCCTGGCCACGTCTGCAACTGGGGTGGTGGGGATGGAGCCTGGTTGTGGGCCTTTGTGCTGTCCCAGCCCGTCATCAAGGCTTCTGGTGTACACCCTCCACCCGCCAACCCCATGTCTCCCAGAAGACCTGATGGCGGGGTGGGACAAGACAGCATGGAGGCCTGTGGCCAATCTCCATCCCCACTGGCAGAGACTGGCTTCTGCTGGCATTGCAGGGGGTTGCTAGATGGAAGCAGCCCTGCCTGCCTGCTTGGCACTGCGCAGCAGCTGGAGCCAGAGCTGGAGCCATTGGGCCTGAGTGCTGCTTGACCAGGGTTGCCACATAGTGCTTGTTGGACAGGTGGGGCTGCTTCTGCCTAGTGTCCCCTGTAGTGCCTGGGAGATGCAGTCTGGCCCCACAGGCCCTGGCCGGGCCAGACTGCATCTCCCAGGCTGTCACACAGTGGTGGTTGGGTAGGGCTGCTTCCATCTGTGTCCCATGTGGCACCAGCAGAGGCCAGAGCAGGAGGTGCCACCCTTACTGCCTGCCAGCAGAGGCCAGGGCCCAAGTGCAGCTTGCCCAGGGCCTGCTGCACAATGCTACTGCCTGCCCAAAGGCTGGATAAAATCAATTGGGCCATATTTTGCTCACTCCTGTACTGTATGTTCACTGGGTCAAGTACTACTCAACCTGAATTAAGAATCTGGGATGTTATCTCTCTTTCCATTCTCTCTTGGACTGTCCGGTCTATTAGATTGTAGACAGCACCCACTACAGTGGAGCCCTGATCCTGGCAGTGATTTCTGGACTACTGTGATGAACAGTTATGTGATGAACTGTGATGAACAGTTTTATTATGACATTATAATAAAACACTGGCAATGTTCATTTCTCTCCAGACATGCATGGGACATTTGTAATCCTGTTGCCTCTCAGCCTGATACTGATGATTTTTGGAGGAATGACTGGATTTATCAGTATACTTGCCAGGGCCTACCTGCTACTTCTAATGACGGGGTTGCTTTTTCTGTTCGGAGGTATGGTACCAAAATCCTACTATTTGTTAAAAAAGATTTAAGAGTTTCATGTTAGAGAAAGCGGCACTCTTTACCCAGAGACACAGACACAGACATCTATACACATACACACAGAGGAAGGGACAATGAGAACAAAGACCCTGGCAAGTGTTTGCTTTCAGACAAAATATCAGTATTTATTCACTTCATGCCCATTTGGCTCTTTGCAGACTGAAGAGCTAGTAAACTGGGACTCTGGGGTAGACAACTGACATTTACAAGGGAAAGCAGACAATTACACACAATTATGTCTCCTTGTGGATTTAAAGAGCTCTTGAACACACTATCTTCATCAATTGAAAGGTTAAATACCCTTTAATCAAAGGTTGTCCAATGCTTCCCCTCTACAGATGCTCTGATAGAAACAGAGGAGCAGCTTTGCAATGTGCGAAGTGTAGAGTTATATGGTTTGTATTATACTGAAGTAAAGTTAGATACTAAATCCAGCAGAAGCAGTGTGAAGACTCCCATCGATTTTGTATCACATTCCTAAGAAAGGCTGATACAGGGTCTTTCTTGCTTTTCTTTTTTTTTAACTTTTACTGTGTTTTGAACTGCGCCATTGCCACCCTAAATTTTGAAGTGCCAGGTATTTTCCACTCCCTGCTTAACACACAACATTAGTGACTCATTCACAACAACAGGCTCAAGTCTTGATGATTCCCACTTAGCAATCAAGACAGACAGTTCTTACCCAGAAGTATGAACATGGTGATTCCTGGCATTGTATTTGTAAGCGTAGCCTCTCTTATTATAAACAGTGAGTGGGGGTGGATCCCAAAATTAGTGGTCCAGGTTGTAACAAATTTACTCTCGTTGACTCCTCCCCTATGTGACTTAAGGTGTCACAGCCTGGACCAGTGTGAATAACAAATACCTTAAGTTTCTGAGCTCCTTGCACTACAACATAGCGCTCACGCACATATAGCTCTATCCCTGCCACCAATGATGGACAAACTGCCTTTGCTCAGCCACCATGATATCAATATGTCCAGAATTAAGGGTCTTAAGAAGCTACTTGCACTGCAAGTGCCTGATTTTCTGTAAGTGCTTGAATGAAATCTCATTAAGTTCATTGCCACTACATCATGTCTTAAATGCTTAAAGCCTCTCTTACCAGAAGCTGAGACCACCACAAAAAGGGGCATATTCTGGACTCACTCACACTGGATCTCAGTTTTGCCCAACAGCACAGGTGAATTCTGCCAAAAGGAACTTGTGATTTCATGACTGACATAGTGATAAACAGAAGAAGTCTCATGGTCATATGTGGAGTTCCTGCCCTTTGATCAAGCTCCCATGCTCACACATGTAGAAAGGAGGGTGTAAAACAGGAAGGGGTTCACATTTGTGCTAAAAGGATTAAGCAAATAGGTCACTACAATCTGGCTAGCACAGTGAGTTAGCAGGAGTATTTCTGTCTCTGCTCAGGGTCCTCTTACTTTACATCAGAATAAATAAATGTAACATCTGCATTACTATGCAAAGGCCAGAAAACCAGAACTTAAAATGAACCGGTCAATTTAAGACCCTGAGTGGGAGAAAGTTAGATGGACAATGCACGATTGTCTGACACACCTTATATGAGTTCTAACATGCTGATCATTGTATGCATATCTATTTCCAACTCGTCTTTATGGTGCTGCTCATTGTTGAGTCTGACTATCAAACACGTCTAGCAAAATTGACAAAATAAATCTCTCAGTTCTTTTAATAACCTCCATTATGATCCTGAGACCAGATCTTATTACATCTCCTAACCCCCTCTTCTTTCTTAACATTATTTCCAGGGAAGTTGCTACAAGTGCTTTCTTAGGTGTAATGTCAAATGTACATCTTTATCTGCAAAATAGAGCTGGATATTCATATCCCCTACACCTGACATTCATTCTTTAGGAAGTCTGTCAACATAGACATTAACATGCAGCAGTGCCATTACTAACAATGCATTGATTTATCAGAAGCCCCACTACCATTATTAAATTTAGAAACATATCCTTGGCAAAGTGCAGCATACCCCTGGGGGTGTGAGCACCTTGTTTTGAAAATCACAGTGTTATATAATACAAGATTGGAAAATGTAATATATGTGCCTCTGTTATCCAGAAAGTAGATTATCAGGTATTCATTGCAGAAAGCTTGCCACTACTTATTTTGATTCACTCCTTAGGAAGTAGATCATAATATACTAAGTAATACTAGGAAAAAAACAAAACTAGAGACTTGAACCATAGGGCAGAGTGAGAATCCTGTGTACGTTAGTAGGGAGAGATGGCAAAGTTGATCCAGGAGACCCATTACCAAGCAGTTTTGATTAAGATATAGTGGGTTCAACCTGCATAAATACTTATGTTCCCTCTAGCCCTTGTGACACTTACTGGGATCAGCATCTACATTGCATACTCAGCTGCTGCCTTCAAGGAAGCCATCTGCATTCTGGGGAAGAAGAATCTCTTACTGGAACTTGACATCAGGTTTGGTTGGTCTTTGGTGCTTGTGTGGATCTCCTTCATTGCAGAGGTAGTCACCGGGGCAGCCTTCTTCCTTGCCGCGAGAGCAGTGGGCCTGAAACGGAGGCGGGAGCAGGTGATATGAAGTACCAAGTGCCAACCCAGCTGCATCACCATCATGGGGGTTTAGCAAGGTGGATCAGAGGTTCAGTATGGATTACAATAATGACAAGACTACTGTTGAGTGTATCACACATCTGAGCTAACTCTTCCCCTCATTGACAGCTAAGAAATGGAAAGATTGCATAGTGGCAACACTGCATTTTTGAAATAAGGTGGCCTTTAAATGAAAATATATTGTTTCTACTTAGTAGTAGGAGGCAGCCTTCCCCTCCTTTCTTTCCTTCCATGGTGCCACTGCCAAAATGCCTCCTGACACCCTGGAGTCCAGTATCTATGGCTCATTTAATCTTTGGCTTTTCGGTCAAGATGCCCATTCTGAAGACCAGTTTGTGTCAGTTGTGCTGGAGGCCTCTGTCCATTAAGAACTGTACTGAACCTGGAATTTATCTGGCACAGTCCACCAAATGGCCATCAGGCAGCATGGCCTTCAGGTCCATTCTTGCTTTCCTCTTATATGAGATTCATATCACCCAGTGTAGAGGAAGGAAGAGTGTGAAAAATAAAATAGTTCCTAACCAGTGTATATTTTAAAACAATTTCAGCATATAAAACAAGGTTCCAGTTAGGGATCAAAAATAGCAGAGTTCAGAATATCTGAAGTTAAATCCAAAGCGCCTGTGTGACGATCTTAAGTACTCAGTCTTCCTGGGTACTACTGTGATGCTTTGAGGTATGGAAGGACTTGGTCTGAAGTGTGAATCATTGAGTATTAGTGATGTTAATACAAAGCAACTTGGTGTCATCCACCTTCGCTAACTGCATGTTTTTTCTTTTCTCTTATGTTTCACATTAAAAGCAGGAAGCCTTCATCTTTTAGATTATAATCATTTGTTTCATTGTCTAATGACAAATACACTAAAAAAATCCCAGTATTTGAAATGAAAAGGCCCAAATAACCTATGGGCACTTATACACATGCAGCGAGGCTGCTCCAGTGTACTGGAATCTGCACTCCAGCAGCCTCCAGTGTCACATGTATCAGTGTCCCCTCACAGAAAAATGGTGGCAGGGGCACTTTAACTAAAGCTTGTTCAATGAGCTTTAGTTACAGGGCTCTTGCCACCATTTTTCAGTGCAGGGATGGTAATACACATGATGCTCTAGACGCTTTAATTAGAGCAGCTCTCAGAGCCTCTCAAATTAAAGCACTCCCCCCCGGCCCCTTTCCCCCCACTGCTGGAGCACATGTATAAATGCCGTATAAGTCTGGTCAGGCATCTGTTATGGTGAAGGAGCTTCCTCAAAATGTAAGAAAGGCAAGAGGCAGAAGCTGTCATTATTGCCTGGAACAGAACAGAACAGAACAAAACAAAACAGAACAAAACAAAACAAAACAAAACAAAACAAGTAATGTGATGATTTAAAAATAAATATTTGTTTGCTGTAGTAAAGGATTATACCCATCATGAAGGAATAGAGGTTTCTTTATACTACAGATAATAAAAGCAGAATCCATTGAGTTGGTTTAGGTGACAGCATTATTGATGTGCTTTAGCTAAAACTGGGGGCCAACCTTTTGGGCAGGCATGCCACAAATTAGCCCTACCCATTCTGAATGCTACTCTGATCTCCTTCCCCTGCCCAATCAGCAGCTCTCCTTGCTACTCCCTGCCCTGTGACCACCTTGAACTAAGGGGTTATGGAGAGATGTTCTTCAGGAATAAGCAGTAGTTCAGATGGTTTAACTACCTACGATGGGCTGCTCAGGCTACTTGGGAACCAGTATTTACCCCCAAGAGGCTTCCTGCATCCTGAAGGCATATGGTATTATACTGTCATTCACTGTATTCTCCAGGGCTCCTCACCTACTACATTTGCAATTTCAGTGAATTTTCTTTATCGTTAAAGAAATACAATTATTTATGATGCTTAACTTGTGCCAGAAAACAGCAGGGCAATACTAGGTGCACAACTCAGCTCAAATTTATCTTGAAGTGCTCTTTTTTTCTTTGTTCTGGCTAATGATGCCTGAGAGGGTCTGCCTCATTGCCACTGAAGTCAGTGGAAAAGCTGCCATTGACGCCTATTGACTTTAATACAACACAGTAGTGAGTAAACAGCTCTGCCAGGGCTATCAGGGCTGTTTGTCTATGGCTTCAGTGTTGTTATCTTGATGCAAAAGATCCATGGAAAACCATTTGGAAATAAAACAGCAGTGTGATTCACCTCAGGACCAAGAGTTGAGAACCTGTCTTCTATTTTTTGCTATGCCAGTCAGACACGCTATTATTTCAGGCAAGCCCCCCTACCTCTTGGAACTGTTATTTATTAGTGAAGAGAGCTGCTCTAATTAAAACATCTGCAGTGTCAAATGTATTCAGTGTCCCACGCTTCAAAATAGTGGCAGGGGTGTTTGAACGAAAACTTGTTCAATGAGCTTTAGTTAAAGCACCCCTGCTGCCATTTTGAAGGTTGTGGACACTGAATAGATGTGATGTGGAGGCTGCTGGAGTGCATTAATTAACATGCTGCAGCAGACTAGATTAATCCTAATTAGCATGCATTAGAGCAGACATCCTACACATGTATAGGTGCCCTTTGGTCCTACTCTAAATTCTGTCCTTTCAATGTTAGTGTTTTTATGCATCTGCAACATGTCACCCACAAGCTGAACAGGGCAGGATGCTAGGGGTGTGTGAAGCTTTGGTTGCTGATTCAATACAGAGAAGATTTGGCCCAATTTGGAGGCTGAATCACCGAATCTGAATCAAATCGGGAGACAAAAAAACCCCTCTGAATTGAGTTGGAGCTTCCAAATTGATTCGGAAAAGATTTGGAAAAAGATTTGGAGATTTGGCAATTCGGAAGGCAGTCTTGCAAGGAAACAGAAACTGCGAAAAGGGAGAGGGAGCAGGGAGGGGAGGGGAAAACTGACATCTGTAGCTGGCCAGTGACTGTGATCTTTACCTGAGTTCCCTTCCAATCACAGTACTCTGGGGGAAGGACATAAAAACAGCACATAAGCCTCTGTCTGCAGCCTTTTTGTCCCTTGTGTGAGCTATTTCTGCTGAGCACTGGAAAGGCCCCCTGTTACAGGCTACCATCCATGCTGTTTTCTCCCCGCTGCACCTTAATTCACACACAAAGTCACACATGTTGTGAGTTTTGCTTTCAGAAGCTTGAGGTGCAGTTTCCCAGAAACCCCTGCACCTATCTCCTTGAAATGTGGCAGGCTTCATGGCCTCAGAAGGGGCTACCAAGCCTGCTGTTTTCATCCCACTGCACCTTAACACACACCCAAAGTCACACGTCATGAGTTTTGCTTTGAACAGTTTGAGGTATAGTTTCCCAGAACCCCCTGCACCTATCTCCTTGAAACTTGGCAGGCTTCATGCCCTCAGAAGGGGCTACGATCCCTGCTGTTTTCATCCAAATCTGACAAAAAACGACAAAGTTATAGGTATTTCAGCGATTCTGCATTATAGTCTATGGCTGAATTACTGAATCTCTCTGAATCAGCACCAAATCTTCCAAAGCCAATTTGACCGAATTTCCAAATCGAATCACTGTCCTCTGAATTGGCCGAATCCAAATTGAATACTTCCCTATTCACACAGGCCTACAGGATACATTATAACAAATGAGCTAGCAGTATGCAATCACTTTACAAATGAAACAAACAGTGGCAGGTTTACTGTGGCAGTGGGGAGAAGTTCAGTGTTGCAAAAATTACAGATGCTTGAGTGAAGTACTTTAAATGTTGTGTAAAACATAACAATATCCACATATGTGTACATGTGAAACTGTTTAATGCTGTGCCAAATTTGTATTATGTACTTTTAATTTCTATTATATTTAAATGTACTGTGAACAGTAAATGCATCTTACCACATGACCAATATCTGAACATTTATTACTATTACAGTAGACCTGAGTTGTGATGAAATTATGATATTTACTTGACTCTAAGATGAGTTTCCCCCCTCTATTTAAAATGGGGGGAAAGCCCTCATCTTAGAATGGCACGGGGGGTGGGGACAGGTGGCTGCTCTGGCTTTAGCTCCAGCCCCTACCCAGGGTTGGAGCCACAGCCACAGTTGCTTCCTGTCTCCCCCTCATTTCCCTGGCTGCCTCTGCACTCCACTATCTCTACCCTGCAGTTTCTTCTCCCATTTCCACTTCCCCCAACACAGTCTCAGATCCCCCCACCTACCCCTTACCCTTGCTCTGTGCCACCTGGCTCTGTGCACACTGCAGCCTGGGGCATTGAGCACACCCTTAGCCTGGCCCTGCAGCGGTGGTACACGTGGCAGCTGGACTGGGGCCATGCTTAGTGCCCCAGGCTAGAATGGACAAAGCCTGCCAGCTTGGAGGAGACGCTGAGAGGGAATGGGGGAGCAGAGGCTGGAGGTGAGAAGGGATAGTAGAGATGGAAGGGGAAGGGGGTGCTGAGGTTGCAGGGGATGGGCAGGCAGGAGACAGAGGGAGTGGAGGTGGCAGGGGAGCAGGCACTAGCAGTTTGACTTTCCTAAACCACCTGCCACCCCACTGCCTCCCACTGCAGTGGTGGGAGGGATGAATTAAAGATATCCCTCCAGTAATTAGATTCTATACATGGAAAATTATAAAATTTATACATTTCCATGGATTCGATCTTATTATTGTGGAATCATCTTAAATTCAGGGACATCTTAGATTCAAGTAAGGTGAGAAGCTGGATACCTTCAAGTCAGCTGGCCCTGACAATCTTCACCCCAGGGTACTCAAGGAGCTGGTGAGCATCATAGCCCAGCCTCTAGCACGGATCTTTGAAAACTCTTGGTGCTCTGGTGTAGTGCCTGAAGACTGGAAGAAGGCCAATGTGGTGCCTATCTTCAAGAAAGGGAGGAAAGTGGATCCGGCTAACTATAGGCCCATCAGCCTGACTTCTATCCCGGGGAAGATCTTAGAAAAGTTTATTAAAGAGGCCATCCTTAATGGACTGGCCGATGTCAACATCTTAAGGGATAGCCAGCACGGGTTTGTTGCGGGTAGGTCTTGCTTGACCAATCTCATTTCCTTCTACGACCAGGTGACCTATCACCTGGCCAAGGGAGAAGAGATTGATGTCATATATCTTGACTTCAAAAAAACATTCAATCTGGTATCCCACGATTACCTCTTCGCGAAACTGGTCAATTGTGGCCATGGGTCCACCACGATCCGCTGGCTGGGAAATTGG